ATATTAACAAATTAAATTATAATGCTGAGGAAGTAATTAATTTGATTGAATTAAGAGAATGATAAACTTATTTGTTTGTTTTTTAATTTGTAGTTAAAGTTGTTTTCTGTGTGGTCTACTTGGGTATGATAGTTTTTGTAGGGTTGGTTATTTTTTTTTGTGATGGATTCGTGGAGTTCTTTGGGGTTGGCGTGTGGGGGGGGGGGGGGGGGGGGGGGTGGGGTGGGCTGCGGATTACCCTGTGAAAAAGACCGGGGTGTTCTTCGTGTCGAAAGCCTCACTTCCGGTTGACGTGGGTCGCTCAAAAACGCCTTTGCTTGAAACTCCCATATATAAAAAAATACAAGTGCCGTCATTCTGTGTTGTCCGGCGAGTAGTTCTGTAGGGGTCAAAACGGCGACGGTTACGAAAACGTCACTTAAAAAGTGAAGTCGCGCTGCTTTAAACTTCCATCTCGTTCAATTCGTTTAATGTTGGCAATTTTTTCTGGAGTTGAATTCTAAATAACGTATCGAAGTGCGGGAAAAGAAAAAGAGAGTCGTTGTCTTGTGTTCACGTTTTTCACAAAGCGTGAAATTAGGCATTTTCACTTGGTAGTCGTGAACTGACGGCAAAGAAATGTACATAAAAGCGTGATGCACTTGCAAAGTTGTTGTTTGGTCAATTTAAACCTATTGCTTTTCTGCCCTTCTCGTTGACGTCGCCGTCGTCGTTGCTCCCTATTCACCTAACTCTCCTCTTTGCAGCTTCTAAAAAAAACCAAATCATTGTATTTTCAGAAAAAATGCGTTTTACATGCAATTTCGGTGCAAATTTGAATTAGGAATTGTGTTCATTGACGTCATAAGATTGCAAAGGAAAGCAGCTGCAACGTTCTCCTGATTGATTCTCATTGATTCTTATGAAAGAGCAAGTGTCATGACTGATGTCAGTGTTGAAAATAGCAACTCGCCCACTTGCTAAACAACAAATGCAAATTCATTTTGCTATGTACAAATCTTACATCACTGACCACTTCTGGGAATTTGTTTTCTTGTTTCAAGTCAAATCGTGAAAACGTTTCCGCAGTCAAATGTAACTCGCGCGACCAACCAATGCTAT